GAGCCGCTACTGGTGGATCCACAGTCGGGAACTGCAAAATGCTCTCCAAATCAGGAGTGGAGGTGTACAGTTTCCTGTCCCCATTGCTTGGAGGGGTAACTGCAGTCAGTTGATCCCACTGTTTTTGAATAAGATCCATAAAGAGTTTTGGAGAAGGAATCACCTCCTGCAGTGAGACCGGCTCAGCGAAGAGTCGCTCAGTGGAATCAAGGCCTATTGCAGAACCATCCTTAGAAGCCATGTCTCCCATATTGGTAGCGGCCTTAGCTTTATACGACAATGACTTGAATAACGTGGGTCGAAATAAGCTCGAGGAATTAGGCTGATCGAAGATCAAACTCTCATCATCAGAGAACTCCCTATCAATCAATTCCCCTTCCTCCACTAATGCTGAATCCTCGCTGTAAGTAGAAGGAAGAGGCAAAGAAGACCCAGCTGTAATATCGGGAAGATCCATCTGTGGGACCTGAAGACTAGGCCCACTAGGGGCACTGGTAGTCACAGGGGGTTGGTTTCTACGGATCAATTCCGTAGCTGCAGAAATCATCTGGTAAAGATCTGGGGAAAAACCCTGATCATAGGCTTCTATAGGCCTGAGGCCTGCAGCAGTGGGAGTAAAGGTGGCGGAGGGCCCAGCGCGGGGCATCAAGTAAGCTGAGGTAGCCTGGGCTTCAGCAACAAATGGGGGAAGTTGGATCCCCAACCCCCCCACCCCAGCCTCCGGAATAACGGGCAGTGGGCGATCAGGAGACCAGGCCTGGTGTCCTGCAGGTGATGGAATAGGAGCTGGAGAAATACGCTGAGAAACTAGCATGGAAGGAGAAACTCTACCTTCCCCAGCAATCGACCGTTGACTTACCTGAACGGTCCTTCTATGTGTGCTGCGAGGGGAATCCAAACCCGCCCGCAGCTTCGGCTGGCCAGGGCTATTGTGACTTTCACCTGCTTGACTCTGATCTCTGACTTGACTATGACTGTTTGTGACTGGTTGTATCTTGTTATTGTTGCCGTGTTTGTATACCTGTTAGGCTCCGGCCTTTATTGTTATTCTTATACATCATTAAACGGCTGACTTCGTACAAAACTGACCCTACCAGTCAGAGGAGGCGTGGTCACCAATTTGCATAACTCAGTCTCTAGGCTAATGGACAAAGTTAACCCATGCTTGGATTCCCGTCGCAGCACACATAGAAGGACCGTTCAGGTAAGTCAACGGTCGATTGCTGGGGAAGGTACCTTTTCATCCTCCATTTTAAAATTGCTCAAAAGAAAACGCATTTGAATAAAGTGTCTAATCTTTCATATTTTCTTTAGGTCAACTTATGTTTTGATCAGTTTGTCTACAAGTTGGCAGATCAGATATTTGCATATTACAAGGTTATGGCAGGAAGGTATGTGACTCCATTAAAGTTTGGGGCTAGCCTGGGCCTTCAGTTACTGCCTTCCCAGTGTCTGAATTAGCATGACAAATGTTAAATAATGTTGAAAGTTGTAGTTCAACAATATCCTGGGTGGTAAATTTATTTACATTGCCATACATTGGATGTATGCCATACATTGAAAGATTTCCTAGTGGACAATCATTTAAATATGAGTCACCAATGCGATGCAGTTGCCAAAAAATCCAATGCATTTCTAGGCTTCATTAGAGGGATAGAATCAAGATCATGTGAAGTGTTAGTGCCACTTTATAATGCCTTGATAAGACCATACTTAGAATATTGCACCCAGTTTTGGTTGCCACTATGTAAAAGAAATGTTAAGATTCTAGAAAGAGTACAGAGAAGAGCAACAAAGATGATCCGGAGACCAGAGGTATCTAAAATACAGGAAGAACAATTGCAGCAATTGGGTATGTTTAATTTAATTTTTAAAAAAAGGACTAAAGGTAACATGATAGCAGCTTTCCAATATCTAAGGGGCTGCCACAATGGGGTCAACTTATTCTCCAAAGCACCTGAAGGTTGAATAAGAAGCAAACGGATGGAAACTTATGAAAGGGAGAACCAACCTAGAAACAAGGAGAAGTTTCCTGACAATTAGAACAATTAATCTGTGGAACGGCTTGCCTTTAGAAACTGGATGCTCTATCACTGGAAATTTTTAAGAAGAGATTGGACAACCATTTATCTGAAATAATGTAAGGTCTCCTGCTTGAGCAGTAGATCGGATCTTCATAGTCCCTTCCAACTCTGTTATTCTCTTACTGTGTTATTTAAAATACTGACATAATGATATTAAAAGATAACCTCTATTATAGAGTGTTATTTAATAATCTCACTTTTGTGCAGCCTTCTTCTGGATAAACGATTAAGATCAGAATGTAAGAATCAGGGTGCAACAATTCCATTGCTAACATCTAATCGATATGAAACATTGCTAAAACAGAGACATGTCCAGGTTGGTATACTATTCTTTCATTGCATTTTTTGATTACAACTTCCATCATGCCCAAGAAACCTCACCAATGCTTGTCTGAAGTTTCCTTTTTTGTTTTATTTCAAAACGATTCATATTAAAAAAAATATTTAGTAGCCCAATCTCCTTAATCCTGTAATATGAGGTGGGAATGGGCTCTTGTATCTTAGAGGCTGAAAGCATGTTTGAGAACAGCAGTTCTATTTGCATCTCTTTGTCCAAAGATGATTAGGTGAAGTCAATCTTTGGCTAAAACCCCTTCCAGTTCAGGCTCAGCTAACTTAGGGTTAAGGAAGGTAAACCTGGTCATAGTATGAAAGTGAACCAGATTTGGACATCAGTGTGGGCCTATACATGTCACTATTTAGTTGATAATGTGAATAATTAATATTTCTATAATTTAGTATATCCTGTGAATAACATAATTTGGGTATATCGTACTTGCCAGTTATTTTGCTACATTTCACCGATCAAAGATTACTTGGATAGGTGTCTATTTTTAATATATGGTTGCTGGTACAAGTAAAAAGTATAAATGTAGTTGAGCATGTAGAATTAATTCATTTACGTGACATTTCCACCTTCAGGAATGTACTGTGATCTGGAAAAATGTATTTGGCTTGTTGCATAACATTTCTGCAAACCAAACGTACCTTAACGCATGTGGGGCTCAGGACATTTGTTCTTACAGATATGGAATAATTACATTAAAACTTCATTTAATATTTTTGTCTGTTTCCTTCAGCTTCTTGGTCGGTCAATTGATCTGAATCGCTTGATCACACAGAGAATTTCAGCAGCTGTGTACAAATCAATGGAACTGGCAATTGGGCGTTTTGAAAGTGAAGATTTGACCTCCATTGTAGTAAGTGCTGAAATGCATTAGGATTTAATGTCCCACTGGGTCTGGAGTTAACAGAAAATGTCAAATTTGACAAGGTTTCTTCAGCCAGTTGTTATTAATAACAAAGTTAATGCAAGAGTGTAATATGATCAGTGCAAAGAAATACAGGTGCTCCTTGACTTACAATCACTTATTCAGTGACCAAGGTACAATAACACTGAATAAGTGACATATGACCATTTTTTATAAAACTATTACAGCATCACCAAGGTCACCCGATCAAAACTTGGATGTTTTTGGCAACTGGCATGTATTTATGATGGTTGCAGTGTCCCAGGGACATGTGATTACCTTTTGCTCTGAAAGGCAGAGTCGGTGGGGAAGCGAGTAACACTTAACCACCGTGTTACTGATTTAACAACTGTACTGATTCATTTAATAATTGTGGCAATAAAGGTCATAAAGTGGAACAAAACTCACTTAAATACTGTTTTGTTTAGCAACAGAAATGTTAACTGGGCTCAATTGTGGTCATAAATTGAGGACTACCTGCAATTTATTTCTGTCCTGTACTATCTGATTTCTGGATTTTCCTTGATTAGAAACATTTGGCTCAGAAGGAATTAAAAAACTTTCCCTGCCAAGAATCTGACCGATCACCAGCAAAATGACAATAAGAAAAAAAATGAGGAGTGACCAGATAGGGTTACTTGTACTCATCCATGAATTGTTATTCTTTTTGGATATTCTTCTGTCATCATTGTTCAAGGATAGGGCTTATCTGTACTTTCTTCTCTTACTATTTTGATTCTCTTACTATTTTGTGATGGTAAGAATAGTAACATTATCCTCAGCCCACTGCAGATTGCCAGAAAAGTGATCTCCATCTCTTGAATGTATTGTTCTCCCCTTTGACCAGCATAAGCAGGAAAGCATCCACCTGCTGTGCACAATACCATCTTCCATAAATGCCTCTGTTGCAGTTGAATGGAGTATGCTATGATAGGCACACACATCCTCCAATCACTGTTCTGTGCCTTCAATAACCATTTCATGCTGGGCTGGTGAGCTGAGGGTCCATTTTAAATGAACCATTGCATGAAAGCCATGAAAGCTGCCTCAACCAAGAAACAGCCACATGGCCATTTTGCCAGTGGGAATGGCAAAAGCTGAAAGTTATACAATTGCTCAGTGTTTCATCATTGCCTCTTTGTCCTTTTAGAAATTGCTAGCATTGAAATGATAACATTTCTTTATTGTGGTAAAGTAATACTACAATAATAAATAATAACCATAATAAATAATATGGTTTGGTGGCAATCCTTTGGGCTGGATGAGCTGTTTGCTCTCTCCCTGGCACCTGGGGCCCACATCCTTTTTCCATAAATGGCGTATCGGGGTAATCAAGGTAGGCCTGAAACATTGAATTATGTTTCGTATAATTATGGGTAATATATCAATTAGTCACATCTTTATTAAGATCAAAGGCCAGCATGAGGGTGGTAGGTAATATATAATTAGATATTACCTAGATATTAATTAGGAATATGCCTCATTAATACAGAGGACAGTTCGATCAAACAGAGTGAGCAGAGAGTAATTCTGGGTATAGGAACTAAAAGAGCAATTCACATTTGCCTTCTCAAAGATGCTAAGAAGAAGACACAAGCCCATTTCTCATCAAAGTGAAGGATGTGATTGAAATCTAGAAAGGGGCTCTTTTCCAGACACATTCAACATCAATGTCAAGCAGAGATAAAGCTGCACTGCAAATTGCCTTTTATCTCTATAACAGTAGTTGGTGACTACCTCCAATTGCAGCGATTTATTTCAGATGTCTATGTAAGGATTGCAGTTGGTGGCCTGTTAATTTTAGGGTTCTTTCAACTATATATTCTGGTTTAAATTATGGAGTCTAAGATGTTTCCCCCCCCCCATTAATCTGTATAAATAAAATAGATCTCATGTATTCTCCTTGTGTAATGCTGTTGGAAATACTGTATTTTTGTGTGAAGTGACTGGAAATCATGGACTTTTCGCAGGAAAAAATAAAAAATAAATTTGTGATTTATGATTTTGATGATTAGAAAAGATAGACTCTAGAAAGGGAATTATTTGGTACCCTTAAAGAGATAGGCTAAAATATATGCTGTTAAGAAGACCTTTCTTGCCACAATTGTCAAGTGAATCAATGGCTTCTCCATTGACGGTGCTTGTCAGAGGATTACAAAAGGTGATCACCTGACCCAGGGACACTGCAGCCATCATAAATATGAGTTAGTAGCCAAGAATCTGAATTTTGATCACATGACCATGGGGATGCTGCAATAGTTGCATGTGTGAAAAATGGTCATGAGTCACTTTTTTTCAATGCTGTTGTAACTGAGTGGTCACTAAATGAACTGTTGTAAGTCAGGACTAGCTATAAAGGCTGCAAACATCTCAATAATACGTGCAGTGGAGAAGAGCATGTGCAATAGTTTCCATCTGACCATCTCTGCAAGGACCTAAATAGTTCATGAAAAGAATCTTTCAATATCTTCCAGTGCGACTGAGGGAAAGGCATTGAAACATGTCATCCTATAGGCTTTTCAGTGTTTAGGAACTTCCAGTTAGATAGGAAACCAACGTATCATATATTTAAAATTGTTACTACAAAAATGATTTGAGACTCTGGCTCTTTGTCCATTATATACATTTGAAATAAGTAGGCAAGAAATAATTCCAACATAGATCAACATTTTTCTAATGTGCATAGTCACTAAAAAGATTTAATGATTTAGATCTTTTAGAAGATTCTGATTTTTTTTCTCTCCTTATGACTTTTATCTGTCCATGAAAAATTATCAGGAGTTGGATGGATTAGTAGAAATAAACAAGATGACACACAAGCTCCTGAGCAGATATATGACTTTAGACAGCTTTGATGCTATGTTCAGAGAAGCCAATCATAATGTATCTGCTCCCTATGGAAGAATCACTCTTCACGTCTTTTGGGAACTCAACTATGATTTTCTTCCCAATTATTGCTACAATGGGTCAACCAACAGGTTAGTGCAACAATTAAATATTTTTTTTAATACTGTACTTAATTTCATGATCCTGGTACAAAAGTTTGCTCTGATAGCTACATGTAGCCAACTTAACTAAGGTTTTAAGTGTATGAGTCTTGATATCAGTGCTTTCTGTCGACAGGGATTTCTAGTTTTTAAAAAAATATTTGAAATCCTTTTCAAGAAAGAGGTTCAGCAGTTGGCTTGAGGCATAAATATTGGGAAATGACCTATAAAATACTAGCAGCTTCCTAGTTTTTTAAAGCTCCTTTCCCAGTAGTTACTAGATATTTCTATGTGTTCTCTTGTGTGCATTTTTATATGTGTGCTTGTGCTGTTAAAATTGTTTGTACTATGTGGAGCATGATATTCGATTGTAGCTTTTATACAATAGCCTCACTATTCATGAATGCAGAGGGCGCAAATATGAATGTAGCTTTTGATCTCATTTAATTAGAACAAACTTTGTAAAAGAAAGGCTTTAGAACAATTGGGTAGATTCATAGAATTAAGGTTAAAAAAGAAATAAAAGGCAGCAGTTCTGCCAGTGCTTGCTTTTCTATTGCATGACACATTAACTCCACCATCATATTTCTCATAATTCACATAATAATACAGAATTGATTTTTTTTTAAAGGAATAGGATCTGGTGTGGTGTAGTGGTGAAAATGTTGGACTGGCACAAGTTCTGGTGTAGTGTTTAAGGGGTTGGACATGTCAGTCTATTCCCAGCCACAAAAGCTCACAGGACTAGTCTCTGCTTCTCTCTCAATTCAACATACCTCACTAAATTGTTGTCTCGAAAAATAGAAGAATGAGTGACACCTTGAGCTCCCAATTTAAAATAAAAGCAGGATATAAATCTAACATGCTTTCATGACTAAGGTGGAATTTACATAATTATAAATTGCATTGCTGTGATGGAATATAATCTGGGTTGCAAGCAGGGAGGGAGTGCAATCTAGATGATCAAGAGACAACTCAGTTCAGATAGCTTATGTGGAAAAAAAGGATGAAGACAACCCTCCCTAATAATTCCCAGAGTATATTTCTATGGGGTTAGTAGCATGTTTTTAGATTGGCAAGATTCTGTCCATTGGTGAGAAAAATAAAGAAAACTACTTGAAAGAATCACAGGTCTGTCTTGGTTTTTGGAGCCTGACAGTTGCCTTGTTTGGTTTACATAGGTTTGTTCGAACAATACTACCATTTTCTCAGGAATTCCAGAGAGACAAGCAGCCCAATGCACAGCCTCAATATCTACATGGATCGAAGGTTAATATTTTTCTTTATTTGTTTTCATGTAGCAGGTGTTTCATAATTTTCATTCTGTAGCACTATGTACCGTGTTTCCTCAAAAATAAGACAGGGTCTTATTTTCTTTTGACTCCCGAAATAAGCACTTGGCCTTATTTTCAGGGAGGTCTTATTATTTTTGAGGTGCAGCAGGGGGCAAGCGTGGTCACCTCATGGCTGCTGCTGTGTTACATTATTTTCAGAGAGGGCTTATTTTGGGGGGAGGACTTATGTTAGCGCATGTGCTCAAAATCCCAATTGAGCTTATTATCCAGGGAGGGCTTATTTTGGGGGAAACAGGGTATTATATCTAATTTTGCAGTCTCTACTTTTTTCAGTGGGGTCCATTTTAAGAATAGTTGCACTCTATAACTTGTGGGGTGTAATTGTTTATTTGTTTCTGAAAGACAGATGTACAGGCAGTTGTCGACCATTCAAAGTTGATTATCAGACGACTCCATCGGCAGATAAAATAAGCCACTTTTGTCCTAGCGGTTTTGTGTCTACATAAGGGAGCTTGAGAATGCTATGCTCCAAAGAAAGTTCATCCTTAGTTCTAGAAAATAAGATCATAATAGAGGTAGCCCTCTTAGAAGGTATCTCATTTGGTCTAAGGTTTTGTCAGTGAAGCAAAGGGATTATCCAAACTGTTAAACATATTTTATTATATCACCCATTTTATGTTAGCACATTCTCAGAGTAAAACTGATCCTTGACTGAACTAAAAGTACTGATTGCTGAACGATACAGTACTGCAGACATACTACATTTGTTTATAATGTACAAGCAGGTGGGACTTACTTAATGCTGTAATGAGGAAAAAAGCACAATGAAGGTTTGATATAATACAAGGAGCATAATTTATGGATTTGACTTCTTAAAATTCTCTGCAGTTTATAATTTCTTTGTCTTTAATACAGATTTTTTTTGTTTTGCTCCAAATTGAAATGCAACAAAATCAGAATCCTTTACTGTAATTAAATCACTTATTTAATCTGAGTATTCAAGAAAGCAATGCAGATGTACAAATATACAAATGTATTTTTTCACGGGATTTTCCCCTTAAATTATTAATATTGGCAAATGCTTACAAGTAGTCAAATTCCATAAATTATGCTCAGAGTAAAAATCCTGAGATTGTCATAAAATATTCAAATAAGAATGATAGTTTGCAAATGAGCAAGTAGATTTCTTCATGATTCATAGATGCTGCTACATGCTTTTTGCACAATACGTTTCCCATTCTTTGACCTTTTGTTTACAGAGGTTTCTTGTGATAAGGGTTGTGTTATCTTCTACTTAATCCATTCAAGAACAGCCTGTTCTGCTCCCTAAGGAAATTTATCTTTCTTCTTATTTGCTAATGCAAAGGCATTCTGAACCACTCTTGCCAGACTCTGCTTGCTTCATTGGTGATTCAAGTGAATAATTCTCAATTCTTTAGTGACCACTACTTAGCCGCCCTGAGTCTCTTGGGAATAGGGCGGCATACAAACCTAATAAAATGAAAATGAAATGAATGAATGAACCATTGGACTGAGGCGGAGAGAAATATCACATTAGAAAGAGCATTTGGGCTTTATTATTCTTAAGTTTTTTTCACAGTGCTATTAATTATCTGTATCTTGTTATATTTCTTGTGGCAAAACAGTCTTTGTAACATTTGGCTGATATTAACACGTAAAAGATTTTCCTATACATTACTGATGCATTAAATGACAAATTCATATTCTAACTTGTTTTATCTCTAAAATTTTACAATATAAAGTAGTAGAAATCATGTGCCAAGGCAATTCATTGTAATAATTGCAAGGGTTTTTTTTAGAAAAAGAGAAGGGTAGTGGATTACTGTAATGTGCTCTACTTGCTTCTTGAAGACCACCTGAAAGTTACAATTGGTCCAGAATAGTGTGGGACACATAGTGCAGAGTACCTTGGAGTTTGCCCATATCACACTGCTGTTGTGTAAGCTGCATTGGCTTCCAGTTTCTTTCTGAGTGCAATTTAGGATCTAGTTACCACCTTTAAACCCTGTATGGCAGTGGTGGGATATGACCAGTACCCCTCGGTACAGCCCGCTCTCCTTACCGCTATTTGAGCTGATCAGGGCATTTGCACACGGAACTTACGGTGCCTGCGCAAGGCTCAGCCGAGCAGCTGGACGTCACGAGTGTTAGGTACCCATGTGTGTGCTGCATTTGTGCTGCATGGTGGGCACCCAGCCTGGTTTCACCATACCAGTTGCAACGGGATCCAGAACCCACCACTGCTGTATGGCATTGGTTCAGATTATCTGCAGGACTAATTGCATTTAATTAATTACAAAATTCATTCTTTTTGTTCCTTTAACTGAAAGTATCATATATTTCAAACATCATTTTACTTTTTAAAATTAAATGTAATTTGATTCCCTGAAAGTATTCTTTCATATATTTTGTAATGAAAGGAGATATACTTTCTAACTTGATTTGAATGACTTGCGTTGTTCTCCTCTCTAGGCTTTGAATCTGGCATACTCCAGCATTTATAGCAACTATAGGGACTTTGTAGGCCCCCCTCATTTCAAAGTGATTTGCAGACTACTGGGATATCAAGGGATTGCTGTGGTGATGGAAGAATTACTGAAAGTTGTCAAGAGTCTGGTATGTGGATTATTTTTATTTCAGTAAAATAGAAAAAGCTACCCTTTCTTCAAGTTCATTTAATCACTCAGGTTTTTAATTTTATGTTCCTCACATATTTTGGATCACAATTCATACTGCTCCAGCTATTAAAGGAGTATCTCTGGGAATGCCAATGACTATAAATGAGTGAAATGGTATGAAAATAGGAATTATAATTGTGTGTGAAAATCATTCTTAATTATATGATTCTTAGAAGCATAAACATTATTCTGTTTCCCTTGAAATATAAAATTTCATACTATAGTATGGATGAAAGAAGAAAGTCACAGGAAGTTTTAGTTTATTAATTAAAATATTTGACATCTTTTTCCATTTCATTTTGGGACTTCAGCTTGTCCCACTGTTTTCTAGGGGATATCATCAAAGTATGCTTAGTCATATCTGGCTAATTTGCCTAAATTTACATCTTGTATTAGCAGTAAACAATACAATTAATGTTTTCACTCAATTGTTACTTTTTTTAAAATACATAAATGTACCTATATAGAGATGAAATGTGTTTTTTGTACAACTATTGCACTTGTATGTCTTATCATAAGTGTGTTCACTTTGAAGCAGTGTTCACATGGCAATGTTCATATTTTTATGTAAATGAACCCTGCTTAAAATAGTAGTACACTTAAAACATTGCTTGTTTCTTACGAACCCCAGTTCAATTTATGCTCATTTAGCAATATTGTTTATATTTGCTTTCTCAGTTACAAGGCACAATTCTTCAGTATGTAAAGACCTTAATGGAAGTAATGCCCAAAATCTGTAGGTTGCCTAGACATGAGTATGGCTCCCCAGGTAAGTTCAATTTTGATGAATGTTTGTTTCTTCTTTTTATTGGGTTATTTAATAAACAATTATATAGTGTTTAAAAAGATTAATATTGCTATATTTTACTTTTCAGTTTGTCATAGATTGGAGTAATATATTTTCAGGTTTCCTCCAATATATTTTGTAGGCATCAAGAGTTCCATAATTGACCTTTATTGATTATGGATACAACAATAATCTCAATATTTAGAGGAGTGTCCAGCATTGGCAATTTTAAGAATTCCCCAGCCAGCCATGACATTTTTACCTATATGTATGGGGGGTGGGGGGTGGGGGACCAACAGTTCAAGAAGGGATCAATCCTGGTATCCTGAAATATTCTAAGTGAAAAGAGATTGTATTGATAGCATTTAGGCCTATGGAATATAATATCACAACTATGGCTTCCTTATCTGGATACATGTATTCCTTGATTTATGACTACAACTGAGCCCAAAATTTATGTTGCTAAGCACGACTCTTGTTAAGTGAGTTTTGCCCCATTTTATGATCTTTCTTGCCATAGTTGTTAAGTGAATTTGGTTTCCCTGTTGCTTGTCAGAAGATCGCAAAAAGTTGTCACATGACCCTGGGACCTTGCAACCGTCATAAATATGAACCAGTTGCCAAGCATCTGAATTTTTATCATGTGACCATGGGGCTGCTGCAATGGTTGTGTGAAAAACAGTTATAAGTTATTTTTTTCAGTACTGTTGTAACTTTGAACGGTCACTGAATGAATCATTTAAATCAAGGACTACCTGTAATGAATATAGAGGAAAAAATACTAATTTTCGGTGAACAGCATACTGTGGTGCTGACTTATGTGACCTTTTATTCGCTCCCCCCCCTCTCTCTCTGTTCTGTGTCTGTCTCTCTCTCGTTCTCTTTTCTCCTATTACCACATTCTTCAGGAATTCTGGAATTCTTTCATCATCAGCTCAAGGATATTGTTGAGTATGCTGAACTGAAAACTGTGTGTTTCCAAAATCTGAGAGAAGTGGGAAATGCTATTCTCTTCTGTCTCCTCATTGAGCAGAGCCTGGTAGGTGTGGAAAAGCAGTGTCAATAACAGATTACAGTACAATGAAGCCAAAAGAGCATACAGTATGTACTATTAGGCCATCATGCAAAGGCATCAATTACATAATTGTGCCCCAAGTACATAAGACTGTTTGCATATCGACATTGTCATACATGTTTCAGCATTTGCCCCCTGCTGCAGAAGCCAACGAGTGCTATTGTTTCCCTGTGTGCTTCATACATTAAAGATTATGGCTTATGGCATTAAATCAACCATCAATTAAGAGCCTTAACTTTCAAACACTTTTTAACTATTTATAAAAATAACATTGTGAAGAAGAAATTCTAGCATTTTTCATAATAATTCAAATTTAAAATTTGCACAAATTATTTTGGGTCTTTTTCCCTTCAAAGGAGAAGTCCTATTTCTTTTATGCCCTCTGCTGTCTGGTTTAGAAAAAGAACTTTGAAAAATAAAAATCTGTCTTTAGAGAAATTACAGAGAAGCTCTTGAAACACCATCAGTGTTGAAGATACATGAGTAATGAAAAATCAGAATGGTTCTTTTTGCACCTAAGTGCTCGTAAAATGTTTTCTAATTTTAAAAATATTATATATACTTGAGCTACTCCATAGAGAAGCAGTCCTTCAATAGTAATTTTTCCTAGCATTTCAGCAATTCTGTATATCATCTAAGGCTGGGGTGTCAAACTTACAGTGTCATGGTGGAATCACATGATGTATCGGGATTCGCCCCCCCCCTTTGCTAAATGGCAGGGGCGGAGACGGCACGTGACGCATCTGGCCCACGGGCCACGAGTTTGACAACCCTGAACTAAGGTATCTACGTGGGTGGCTTAAGATGGCAGTAGTGACTATGTTATTGACAGTTTGCCCCTTTTTATTTACATTGACACATGCATGTATAAAAAGATGGGGCTTTGCATGGTGGTGACTGTATATTCTTATTTGAAAGTTCTGCCAAACTAACTGGAATAATCATTGGAAAGAAAAACCTGTGCTGTAAATTCTCACAGCATAATCTGTATATCTCCTTCATTCATTCCGCATATTGAAAGTATATTCTGAAAACAACCGTTTGCTCCCTTATGAAGGTAGCCTTCCTGAATTTTGGTCTGTTGGAATATAAAACAGCCTCCTGGCACAGATAGTTTCATCAGTGTTAAGCGTCTAAATGAACAGTTATCAAATTCAATACATTTTGAAGATCCTTTTTTAAAAAAACGAGAGCTCTGTCATTACTTTCCTGGATTTTCAGTTCTATTATGAAAACTATCTTAGGAGAGAGAGTGAATTTTAGAATAATGTTGAAAACAAAAACTTAATTCTATGTCCAGTTGACATCTTTCCACCTGCTGCTTGAACAATGGAAATTAACAATTTGTGTTATGCTTTTTGATAAACTCTGCTATGTGGATTGTTTTACTTATAAAATAAAATTTTATTCTGCCCATGAAACTACTTTGCTATTCTGATAGCAACTGTTAGACAGAGGCAAATCTACCAAAAGATCATTATATCTTGCAAGTTTAAAAAAATGTAATACTTGCTACCCTGGTGTTGATCAATACATTCCTGCTGGTTGTTTGAGTGGGATTAGTCATGTTCCTCAGCAGTATTTCTCTCTTCATTTTCCTCGTTTATGGAACTGCTCCTATACATGGGGGCACAGGCCAGTTTCCATCAGGAAATCATGGAAAAAATGTTCTTTTTTGGATATTGCTACTTCAGTTCAAAATCAGACAACAGCCACAGTGTTGCAGTCAGAGATTCCCAATCACAGCTCTCTAGTGTTATATCTTTATTCTCTTTGTTGCAGTCATTGGAGGAAGTTTGTGATCTATTGCATGCAGCACCATTCCAGAATATTTTACCAAGAATTCATGTCAAGGGTATGCTTTTTCCTATGGCTTTCCAACCGAAATATTCATGCCAAATTATGCTGTCATTGTGGGACTGCAAAATCAAGACAAAAAGCTAATGAAACACAGCACACATTTGTATCAGAATTAAATCTTTGTTATTAGTGGTGCATATCTATTGTGCAGAGAATAGATTAAGCCTCTTAAATGGCTGGAAAAACTTAGTGTGATTAATGAAGTGAAGGAACTTTCTGCACTTTATATTTTTACCTCATTTAAGTTTTGTTTTGAGCACTTTCTCCCCCTTTTTATTCTGGTATCGTTTACATATCCTGCTAGTTTACAAAATGAAATTTCATAGGTCTTCTTGCTTAGTAGATGGTTAAGAAAATGTGTCATCTTCGTCAGATATTTGCCACAGAACATTTCCTTTCACAAGATGTATAAGCCATGTGCATTTTAAAAATTAGGATGTTTTTCTGCATATACAAAAAAAGCATGTGGCAGCAAATATATGTTTAAACTTCACAGCTCCATTTTAGGAGTGAAATAAAAAGCTCTGAAGTTTAGTATTTATTTTGTATTCTTGAATGTACAAAATGTGGTGGTGGAATAAATCAAACAAAACATTAAGCTGAAACAGGCTTTATTAGCCTCCTTCAGACTCTGAATGCAAAAAGTTGGGATAAAAGAACAGTACAATGAATAAATGAAAAATAAATCACATTATTCTCTCTCTGTCTGTTTCCAGAGGGGGAAAGACTTGATGCTAAAATGAAGAGACTAGAATCAAAATATGCTCCACTCCACCTTGTTCCATTGATTGAAAGACTGGGAACACCTCAGGTAGTCCTTACGTTTTTTACAGAACTGCCATTTTACCTACTTGCTTACCACCATATAGAGGATAAAGCTTTTTGGCATCCTATGTTGGTTGAATTAGTAATTAATTTCTAAATAATGAGATTTTATTTTATTATTAGATTCCTAATTCAAATTTTAAAGAGTTATGTGCCATCCAACACTATCAGCTAGACAGATTATGTGATTTATAACACTAAATAAGATTGGCCACAATTAATATTTGGATGGAGAAACTATTTGGCAGAACAGACTGTAAAAGTAAACTTGGAAACTGAAACAAAAGGGAATGAAAACTATTTTCATACTATACCCAGAAACTGCACAAATATGCCTATGAGTTAATGAAAATCAAAAATGATTCCCAGCCCCCCTTTTATAAAAACATTATTTTCTCTTATTGGGAGAAAAAAAAAACCTTGAATATTCAATTTTTATATGTTCCAAAAGAAAATAACTTTCTCATTTGTTAATTCCATTCATTAGAAAAAGACTTGCTTAAGATGCTTTGAAAATATTTTATTTGAGATATACAGATATATTTGGAATGTTGAGAGCAAATTTAGTCCAGTGATTAAGGCACCAGCCTCAAAACCAGTAGGTCATGAGTTCTAGTCCTGTCTTACGCTTGAAAGCCAGCTAGGTAACTTTGGGTCAGTCACTCTCAGCCCACATCATGCTAGGGCAGACCTGGGCATTTTACAGCCTACGGGCCACATTTGGTCTATGGGCTGTCCCTGTTGACCTGCATCGGTCAGTGGAAGAGAGGGTGTCAGCCGGGGGTAGGGCATCAGTAGAGAGTGGGGATAGTATTGGCAGGGACCTGGGTGGTGGGCAGAGAGTTGGTGATGGGGAGACAGGATGGTGGCCATCTGCACCAGTTCCATTGCTTGTATGTCTCACCTCTGGGCTAGGCAACACCAGTTGATCAATTCCTGTTGCAACTAATGAATAAACGTTTGGTTGATTTGAAAAAAAAATGGAAAAGTGTGAGGAAGAAAAAAAACCCAAATATTAGTAGGCTCTTTTTGGATTCAATGACTACATCTATTAATTCAACACTGGGGAAACCATAATAGCTAATGATGCAAACATGATGTAGAATTTCATTCCAAAATATGACGCTTTATGTAGAATTCTAGGTTTAATGAGCTTGGGATTGAGTGAAGAGAATCAGCCTCTGCAGGTGAAAAGAAAACAACACATTCTGTCAAAAGGATGGATTTGAATCTTTATTGATTTTTGATGTCTTTCAATTGTAGAAATTGAAGATGGATCAGTATATTTATCATGTACATTTAATGTGCTAAAAGAGGGAGCTGATTATGTTAATAGTATATACATTTTATTTTCAAATTTTAGTTACACATACGTTATTTTGTATGACTTTTATCTAAATTAAATAATTTAAAATAGGGTGGGAAAGTATCGTTTTCCATCCTATTTGAAACTCAGTAGCTCATTTTCACGTTAATAAGTTCTTCATAGACTGATACTGTATTGTTGGTTGCAATTATAGCAAATTGCCATTGCAAGAGAAGGAGATTTGCTAACCAAGGAGCGTCTCTGCTGTGGACTTTCTATGTTTGAAGTCATCTTAACAAGGATTCGAATATTCCTGGATGATCCCATATGGCGTGGTCCTCTCCCTAGCAATGGTGTGATGCATGTAGATGAGTGTGTGGAATTTCACCGCCTTTGGAGTGCAATGCAGTTTGTATACTGTATTCCAGTAGGAACCCATGAATTTACTGTCGAGTATGTATCCAAATACTGGCAATGGCATTGCTATTTAATAGTGCTTTATTTTTACTTCTGAAGTTAGATATGACTATGATATAACAAAGGAATTAAGAATTTACTGTATTACTAAACTCTTAATTCCTTTGCAAATATTAGTAAACTGTATATTGTTGATACAGCTACTTACGCAAATGCATTTGGTCAGTCTCAAGACTTTGTTAGACCAAAACATTAAAATACTATTTTAAATGTAGTTTAATAAATGCAAAAATGATAATCTAATGAGTCACAGTTGACTATGATTACAATGATTTTTTGTTTTCAGCATCTAAACTTTGGAGATATCAAATCAGTTTTATAGTTTTTGGGGTGGTTCTGTTTCATGTAACTATTTCTTTAGAACTGTATGAAGATAAAGATCATATACTGAATCAAAAATAGTGAATATAGTATTAGGCAGGGATGCAGAAATGACATTTTTCTGATCCCCCAAAAAGCCAACAGGAAGTAGACAAAATTCAAAAAAGTCTTCTTTGCATTTGTAATGGTTAAAGAGACAGATGCCTAAGGCATCCATTTCACACTTAAATCTAAAATTCCATCCTGAATGGATCCTGCCCTACCCATTTCTGAAATATAGTCTTTGACTGCATACTTATTAGCAGTACCATTTAATAAAAAGATATTGCAAAATTCTGCAAAACATTCAGTCAGCATTGTTAATTGTAGTGACAGACTTGGGACTGGGAATCCAGAATCCTGATTTACCTTACTCAATATAATGTAGTGATTTCTCTACACTTTTACTTTGTAGACAATGTTTTGGAGATGGGCTGCATTGGGCTGGCTGTATGATTATTGTGCTCTTGGGACAGCAGCGTCGATTTGATGTGCTCGATTTTTGTTATCACTTACTGAAAGTACAGAAGCATGATGGCAAAGATGAAGTCATCAAGAATGTGGTAGGTTTGACCAAGGTTTATTTCTCACTTTGTGTGTCATTTTGGTATCTTTCCCTTTTACTGATTATAATTTTTGTTTTGTAGCCATTAAAAAAAATGGTTGAGAGAATTCGCAAATTCCAGATCCTGAATGATGAAATTATTACCACACTGGACAAGTATTTGAAATCTGGTGATGGAGAAAGCACACCGGTGGAACATGTCCGCTGTTTCCAACCTCCCATTCATCAGTCTTTGGCCAGCAACTAGAAAAGATCTGTGATCTTTTGAAAACAATGGTCAGTTGCAGCACATTTTGAAACTAGATTTGTTGTCTAAGGGAGACTGCCCTGATCTTCATTGCTTTCCAGGATCAACTAAAACGTTTGAATGGTTGTTTTCAAACTCAATTACTGTACACAAATTTCAGATTTTAGACTATTTTTAAAATACTTTTGATAAAAACACTTTGCAGTGCAACTATTTTAGGCGTAAATCGTTGCGTTTCTCCAGTTTTTATAATTGTTTTAAAGGCTTAATATAAGGGATCTTTATTTACTTTGGCTAACAAAAGTGAATTTTATTATAGGAGTATGCTTGAAATGTTTTTGTATAAGGAAAGTAAAGCTGCTCAGCTTATCTTATAAAGACACTCCGTTTGCTATTTTTTAATCAATAGAAGGTTCTCTTTAGAAAACTATTTTACCCCATAATGTAATCAGCTTTGGAAATAAAAGATTTTAATGAGATTTTAAAAGTATGATTGTAAGATAGAAATAATTAATGCTTCGTGTTTATTCAGATTTAGGAAATCGGTTAAATACCCTTAGAATAAAGGACTTCTGGTTTTTTAGCTTCTCATATAATTGGTGAATCTGAATCCTGTTTTTATATCTTGTTGGAAGCAAATGAAGTTGAAGGTGAAATTATTGTGGAATAGTATATAGGGAACACAGCTTACATTTACTAGCTTAGATTTATACCTTTTTCAAGGGTTATTTAGTTTTAGAAAAATTATCTTCAAACATTTAACTGTTTGAGAAGTATACTTTAATGAGTCATGATTCAATAGTTCTGTCAAAATTCTGAATTAAATGTTACTGTAATTTTAAAGTATTGTTTGGCTTTTCTGGTCTAAGAATCACTGTTTCAATTATGTATAAAGTCAAGACATGTTTGCAAGAGAGATTATCTCTGTATCCAATTTTCTAGGTAGCGTAATTGTATTTATAACATAGGCAGTAATATTAAAGTTTCTAACACAATGCAAACTATTCTAAAATTATAGATTATCAGACCTAACAGCAGATATGATCAACCCACAGCCATAAGAGTTTCTTTCTAATTTGAAGTAGAAAACCGATAGGCTAAGTTCACAAAGTATTTAGCTTGGTTAACACAATGTGATAAATTTTGAACTATTTAATCCTACTGTAATGTTATGGAACTCTGTCATAAATTTATTTTCTAAGTGTTAAAATAGGCTAACTTGTTGGGATAATTTCCAGAAATAAAGAAAAATGGGAAGTCATTATCCTATTCATTTTAATAATATATCTCTGCTCACTGCAGCACTTCCAGTTAAAAGTTTGCCTATCCCTGCTTTAAAAGATTATATTCTGATTTAATGTTTACTTATTTGGCAACCTTCCCTAGTTATGGTGCTGAACAAGAACCTACAGGTATCATGACTGTGGCCTTTACAGCTTCCTACAGTCACATGTTCACAGCCTTCACTGTTTACTTTTAACAAGCAAAGTCAGTGGAGAAGCAAGCAGGAGACGGTGAGCCCTGCAAATGGCTTTTATGTGACTGGGGGGGCATTGCAACTGGGTGGGACTTGCATAATGACGGCAACTGGAACTGCCACAACTGCCATCACATCCAATTACTTTGTCACTTACCAACAGAGTTCTTGATTGGTATATGATTAAGCTATATTGCAGAACACTTAAAAACTGCTACAATAATCCACACTATTTCCCACAACAGATGCCTTCAGCCATTAACTGAAACATCTAATTTCATTGCATTTTTGTTCTTACAAACATTTGAGACTTCTTTTCTAACTCTGAATGCAATCAACTGCCAAACTGATGAAGGTAGATTAAACAATTGGCATTTGATGCTCTCCTCCTATTGCATTTTATTTAATTTATTCTCTTTTAAGCTTTTCCCAGCTCAGTCTCAATTAGTTTCCACCTTCCCAATTTTGAAGGTCAGCTTTCTCAACTTTTCTTCCATATAGAGAGGCTGAAACATAATCTACAGGCATTCCTCCATTTTGCAAACACAACTAAGCCTGCCTTCTGCCTGTTGATTTGTCTCTGTTTTAGATGGAGTAGAAAGGTACATGCATTTTTTATTGCCTTTGGTGTTCCAGAAGAACAGAGAGTCAAACCATGTAGGTAATAGTTGTTATACTAGAAAGACTGGAAAGGGGAAAAAGGCAAGTTTATTATTTCATCCCACTTTCAATAATGGAATGAATAATTTTGCCAATTGTTATGCATTATCCAGCAGTAATCTCAACATGAAGCACTTTAAACACTTGAAACCAGTAACTACTTGTATGTGTTTTGGGTATATGCAAACATATACAAACATGGTTTACACCCAGGTATTTTCTTAAAATAGCATTTTTCTACGTAATGACCTTTGTGAGCTAATATCACTTAAGTCTTGTTCCTCAGGAATGTCTGCTTCATTGATTAAATAAAAACACATTGGTTGCAATTGCAAATCTCCTAGACATCTGATCATAAATTGTCGAAACATAGATTGTTTATGGATGAGTAGCAGTGTTTTATAATAAAACAAGTCACTGCATAATCCATCAAATTACCATAAAAGATATGTAGGTGTGCAAGACCAATATAATTCATCAGAAATAAAGCATTTTATTTGTTAAAATTGTCATTAGTGCAAGAAGTCTTAAACCAAAACAGAATATTTACATATTCATACTAAGTTAAGCAAATAACAGAGTGAGGTTCTTTAGTATTTTTAAATTAAGAGTAAGGCAAATAAAAATCCACCACTGCTCTTTGACCAAGTTAGCCAAACCTAAAAAAATGATTGTCTACAGTACTATTTAAATATATCTGTTTGAAAAATGCTGTAAAAGTGGCTTTTCACTATGAAACGAAAGTTACAGAATTGTTGTCTTTAGGAGGCTGACAGATTTCCATTTCTCCTGGAAGATATTCCATCAGGGGAGTGTAGGTCACTTTTGCAAGTTGCACTTTCTTCATCGTGATTAAACAGTTCATATGTGCTTGGCATGCAGCCATTTATTCCTTTGTTATCTTTATGTAATGTCACAGGCAAATTTGCTAGGGAAAAATTGACATCCTTAAAGGCATGCAATAAAAATATCCCCACGATTATGGTGATAAAGCCACTAAATGTACCAATAATGTCATCAGCTGCCATGTGTTGCCATTCCTTGAAGAGGATCGCAGAACAGGTTAAAACAGATGTTGTGAAGAACACATAATAGATTGGTGTCACTACAGAAGTGTTGAATATGTCCAGGGCCCTATTCAAATAGTTAATCTGTGTGCTTACACAAGCAATAAGACTTAGCAGCAGAATCCAGGCCAATGGATGTTTCAGCACAGCTTTTCCTGCAAAAAGTTCCTTTATAGCAATGCCCAAACCTTTTACACAGGATACAGATAAAGCTCCAATGACTGAGCAAATTGTTATGTACACGAGAATGTTGGTCTGCCCATGCCGGGGTCCCACTACAAAGATCATGATCAAGGATACAATGACAATAAGTGTTGCAAACACTACAAAACCTGAAATATTAAAAAAAAAATAATGGAATGTTGCAATTGCACATACTAAGTAATAACACAATTTGAAAACTTAAAAACATCTGGAGTCTGTCAATGGTTGTATGATTAGCTGAGGAGGACAGGAACTCAATGTGACCAAAAGTTACATTTGTATATTTTATTTTGTTGGGGGGGGGGTAGGGGAGGAAGTTGAGTGCAGTAGATGTGTATAGCTTTAATATGTATATTTTAAGTATAGGGATTGTTACATCTCCAAATGTATGCATTTTGCCAAATTTGATGAAATAATTGGGGGGGGGGGAAGAGTCAAGTACAAATTTTAGGTAGCCTACCCTTGAGTTAAAGATACCGTATTTCCCCGAAAATACGACAGGGTCTTATATTTTTTTGACTTACGAAATATGGCCTTGGGCTTATTAAAGGGGAGGGCTTATTGTTTTTGGGCTGCCGGGCGGCTGCTCCCTTGAGACCGGGCTCCCGAAGAGCTGGGCACAGCCTCAGGGTCGAATGGCTTTGTTGCACTGTCGCAGCAGCAACACAGCAACCATGATCGCGAGCAGCCACCTGGCAACCCCCCTTTCCAGCCGGGAACAGCGCCGCTGACTGACCTAGCTGTACCCGGAAGGTACCAAGTAATGTGAGCGCCTGTTCGCCGCCCTCCGCCTCCTGCAGCTCGGCGCCTTTGGAATGCCCCTAGGTGAGTGAATGGGGCTCTGCATGGCTGAGAGGGAGGTTGCGAGAGCAGCTTTTCCGCTCCCCGCTCACGCAACTCACAGGCTCATGATGCCCTTGGCTAACTCTACAGTACCTGCAGAGCCAGGGCATCTCTGCTGCTGGCGTGACCCGTCAAAACCGCGCTCAACTAAACCGCGCCTGATTAAACCGCATCGCTGACGTCATCAACAGGGCAACAACAGCCAGCGCGGAGAAAGAAGGGCGCTTTAAATAGCACTTTGAAAGCAAGCCGATTCAACTTAAGGTAAGGGTTAGGTTTAGGGTGAGCTTTAGGGTTAGGTTGAGGGTTAGGTTTAGGTTAAGGGTTAGGGTTAGGGTTAGGTTAAGGGTTAGGTTAAGGGTTAGGTTTAGGTTAAGGGTTAGGTTTAGGGGGGTTAGGTTTAGGTTTAAGGGTTAATTTTAGGTTTAGGGTTTACAGCGTGCTTCTGTCTCCGCGCTGTTGTCGCCCTGTTGATGACATCAGCGACGCAGTTTAGTCGAGCGCGGTTTTGTGGGTGAACCGCTGCTGGTCCCACCCACTGCTTTTTTTCTGGCTTTCAAAGCATGGAGGACAGATGCCACTCTGGCAGTACACTCTATGGTAGCGTACAACCATAAAGGGGGGTTGCCGGGAGGCTGCTCATGAGCGTGGTCACCTCATGGCTGCTGTGTTGCTGCTGCAACAGCACAACACAGGCATTCCACCCTGAGGCTGTGCCTGGCTCTTTGGGAGCCTGCTTGCAAGAGCGCAGCTGCCCGGCAACCCCCCTCTTCAGCTGGGCACAGTGCCGCTGACTGACCTAGACGTACCCCGAAAGCACCAAGCAATGTGAGCGCCTTTGCCCCCCCCCTTTGTTCCCACGGCTGGGTGCCTTCGGGATACCGCTAGATCGGCAAGCGGTGCTCTGCCTGGCCAGAGGGGGGGGGGAATTGTCCAGGGGGCTTATTTTTTGGGGGGGTGCTAATATTTTTGCTCACCCAAAATATGTGGCAAGGCTTTAGTTTCAGGAAAGATCATATTTTTGGGGAAACATAGTGGGAATGTATAGAAAAATACCCTTGCCCTATAGGATCTTTGCTAATGATGCAATTTTAATATTTGCATAATTCAGAATACTTCAGTGATAGGTTCTGGCTCCTGTTGCAACCGATGCACTGCAACGGGGCCGGGCGTCCGTTACGTGCACACACGCATGTGTACCCACTGCCTGCCATGCTCCAGCTGCTCAGCAGACTTTCACATAGCTGCCGTATGCTCCATGCATGTGTGCAAATGCCCCGGTTGGCTCAGATAGAGGTAAAGAGAGTGGGCGGGCCGGCCCCCTGGAGCATCATACCAGAATGGTACCTGGTACTCCCAGCAGCCACCAGTATGCCCATACCAGGGCATACCGGTTGTATCCCACCACTGGAATACATATATTATTTCATGAAGAGTAGCTAAGACTTTCTTAATTCTAGCTATTAACTAAACCTATGTTGACTCTCAGTAAAAATTGGAGGAATGCTTCTCCACTTGATACATTGATCTTAAATATCATAGTCATTCTCTTGGCTCAGAAGCTCCAGAAAAAAAGGAAATCTTACAATAAACTGTCATATTTACTGTCTGTGTAATCTATTTATTGCTACAACTTTAAACTTTGCAGGATTAAACCATTTAATAGTCTTCCGTTAGTGTTCAGAGAAGGCAAGGGTTAAAAATGAGCTATGGAGTTGAAGATGTACTCCAACCTCATTCTCAACATTCACAAATGCCTCTTCAGATTCTTGTGTATTGAGTGAAGTGTATACATGAGCACTGTAAGTACATTCAACTAAAAGCATTTGAAAGCCTCATTGGTAGGGCAGCTAGATACATGGAACTAAATATATTACAAAACCTATGCAGAACAACTCTAGTGGAATGTGAAGAGACACTCGCAGCAGGGTTAGATCCTGGCCCGCCATATATAATTGAGTACAGAAGTATCTCTTTGAATCTCTCACCTGGATCACCTAACTTGT